GAAACATTAACTGAGGAACCAGATGAAGATACTCACTATTATTACTTTAGTCGAATGTTGTGTAGAACGTCTTAGTAAGTGCAATCAGAAAAGGAAAAAATCTTAAAATCACAAAACTTGGAAAGGAGGAACTAAAACTCCATTTGCAGATTATAGACTTTTACACATAGAAAACACTTAAAACATCTAGATTAACCCCAAATAATGAGTAAATTAATATTTAACATATGATGCTTAGATATCAAAACAAATTCCAGATGAATTAAAGAGTTGAATGTGAAAAATGAAAACATAAAGTAGAAATACAACTTTAGGTTCATATAAAAAGGGAATTGCTTCCTAAATATAAGACCCAACAAGAGCATACAAAAAATCAGTATTTCTTCCTTCCACAAAAATGTAATTCTTCTGTAAATCAAAAATACCATATAAAAACCAAGGCAAATACCAAAACGGGAAAATATTTGAAGTGTTTTTTTCACAAACAATTCAAAAGGACTGTAAGAAAAAGGACAAAAGACAAAACAGGCTGCTCACAGAAATTTAAATGGATACAAACTTATAAAAAAGATTCAGCTTTGTTAATGAGAAAAAACAGAAGGCAAGTAAAAATTTATGTTTTTATATTTTTGTCAAACAAATTAACACTGTTGAGTCATATAGTATGTAAAACTGGTTTAGTCTTTCTACAGAACAACTTGGTATTGACCTTAAAATTGTTCAAACATTCCTTAAAACATTAATTTTATCTACGTGAAGAATACAGGCTTTGGAATGGGTCAGTCCTTGTTTCAAATTCGGACTTTAACTCTTACTAGTTTTTTGACCCTGAGTATATAAAATAGGAAATTAATACCTACCTCACAGGTATTTTGTGAGAGATAAATAAGCTAATGTTTATGAAATGCTTAGTTCAGGGTCAGACCTATAGAAATTGCTCAATAGTCATTAGCATTATTAATTTTGAATTAAGAGTTATCTTAAGATCATTATGAGGGATAGGCTTTAAAATGCACTTTAATAGTCAATAGAGAATAAATATCTAATAATTGACAAATGAGCTAGATATATAAAACAGGTGACAATTAAATAGCTTAGAAGAGCTATTTTGTAGTCATTAAAATAAGGAATATTTGTATTGTCATATTAATTAGAAAAACACACTTGTAATTATAAGTCCAAATTTCAGTATATTTTAAAGTGTGCATGTACATGTGTAACTCATTTGAAAACCTGATGTGGTGAGGTGGGTAGGGATAGTCATTAGCATTTGTACTGATTTTGGGTTGTGAGATTTCTTATTCATACGTTGGGTTTTTTTTCCCCAAACATTAACACACATAAAATATTTCTTTTATAAACAAAGAAAGGCAATACATATGCAATAATTATACCTAAAAATAATCCTTTTAAGATCTGTCATTACATTTCTTTGTGTCTTTTGGCATAAATATTTTAACTGGCTGTGATTCATCACTTATTTTTCTTTTGTAGTATCACCTTACAGGGATAAACTTTCTGCTTGTTCCTGTGATACCAGACACAGACAGGGAGTCATTAAGCAAGTAACTTTGTAAAGATACTGTATCCTGGATTTAACATTTACTCCCATGACAGAATTATTCATGGGATTTAGCAGAGGAGGATCAATTTAGGTGAACTGATATTACTTAGAGTAAAGCTTCAATAAGTTTTCAGCCATTTCTCTGTAATTCTGGTGTACAAAATTATTTAAATGTTCTCTCATTTACGTTTTAAGATCCAATCATAAAAATAAAAAAAATTAAATGTTGGATAGAACAATATTTAATACCTTCATGCCCCTTCAAAAATATCTCAAAGTATATTCCTTCAGGCCAAGATTTTAAAGAAAAATGTCTGCCTTTTAGTTCATTGAATTTATTAGAACACCTTCGTTTTTACTTTATGACTTGTATGGGGCTGAGAATACAATGGTGAGTGTGAGTGGAGAGTTCCTGCCCATGGGAATTTTTTTAGTCCAGAAATCAAACCAATAGGACATTCAATGTAGCTCAGAAAATGATAATATCCTTCCCTCAGGAGATCTAATAGTATTCACCTCCTGTATTAAAGCGGTGATTCTCAAAGTTTAGAAGGCATAAGAATCAGAGCTTGTATAACATGGAGATGCCCAGCCCCGTCTCCAGAGGCTTTGATACGGTAGATCTGAAAAAAAAAGAACTATGAGTCTGCAGATTTAATAAGAATTTAGGTATTTCTGACATAGATAATCTGCATTCCACACTTTGGAAAACATTAGCATTTGATGTAATCAGCACTTCTGAACTTTGCAAAAGTAGGAAGAGTTTGGACCTGCTTTCAAATTTCTGAAAGCTCTTTCTGGTTTCCTGGAATGATTAAACAACAATTGTAAGATTTAGATATAAATAGAACATTACATAATTTAATGTATAATTTAAACTATTATACCTAAGTGGTTGGTGTACCCACCTTGCTGGTGATTATACAACGACAAGAATGTCTCTGATATAAACTGAATGGTTGTGCCCCTACCATCAACCCCAAATTTATATATTAAAACCTAATGCCCAATGTGATAAAATTTGGAAGTGGGACTTTGGGGAGGTAATAGGTCAGAGGGTGGATCCTTCATGAATGGGATCCATCCTCCCATGAAAGGTCTCATGCCTGAGAGCTCCCTTGCCCCTTCTGCCATGGGAAGACATAAAACGTTGGCTACCTATAAACCAGGACGTGGGCTCTCACCAGACACTGAATTTGCTGTGGCTTTGATCTTGGATTTCCTAGCCTTAGAACCATGAGAAACAGTGTTTGTTGTTTACAAGCCACCCAGCCTATAGTATTTTGCTATAGCAACTGGAACAGACTAAGGCCGCATCTGACTCACCTTTTGAATGCAGCAGAAACCCACAGTGTCTGAGGTCAGAGTTGATTCATACTACCAAACACTGAAAAATCCAGCTGTGCACTGGGTTCTTCAAACAACTTGAACTATTTTTCAAACCTTTTGGATTCGGTAAAACTAAAAACTCATTTTGCCAAGCACTTTCACCCTTATTTTTAAACCCATGTGTATTTTAAGAGAAATTTAATCCATATGTTTCTGATTCATTTACACTTAAATCATCAAAATGTTGTTTTGTAAGAGCTATTTGATGTCCAAGGTTTTCTGAGCTTTGTAAACCTCTTCTTGTCTTAGAAACAGAATGCTGTGTTGTGTCAGAGGTTTGAGTCCTGGTTGAAATGCCAAAACCAGGAGGTTTCAGTGGGTTCCTCATTTACCCCATTTACTTCCTCTTTCGATCAGTGATCAACACAAAACAAGACCAAACCCTAGAGGCTGGTTGATACTATTCTCACTTTATCATGACACCCTTTTTCTCTCCCTGTTGTAGGAATGTACTGAAGGGTTTGAAGTTTTGTTTGGGTTTTATGAAGCTTCTCCAATAGGATGATTATACAAGGTTTCTATAACCTTGGGGATTGCTCACTCAAAGCTGTTCAGTTACAATGCAAAGCCAAAAACATAGACTTTTGAAATTTAAAACATATATTCAGACAGAAAAACCAAGCAGTTTACATTTCAAGAGGGACTCAATTCTTTTCAAGGTGTCATTCTATCTTTCCATTTTTAACTTCTTAATCAACAACAGAAATACATTTAGAAAAGGAAAATTGTTAACTGGCACCTCTGTAATTTTTATTTATAAAAATTATGATCATTAATTGCAAAGTATCAAATATAAAAATTCAATAAAAACATATTTTCAAAATTATTTCCACTCAATGATTATAATAACTTAGCAGGCTTTGAGGAAATAATACAGTGCTTTAAAATTATTTAATAATCAGTTTTAAGGGCCTTGTAAAACACATTGCATTATGTGTTACATGAGCGATGAAGCACAAATACATCTTAAAATAATTAAGGATACAATTTTCTTCCAGTCATTTATTGTTTTTTTTTAAAAAGTACTTATAAAATACATCATAAAGTATTACCCCAGATTTTAAACTTTTGGTTTACAGAACATCCTGCTTCTTGTTTTTGAGACACTTCACAAGAAAAAAAATCAAGGTCACTCAACTTGCGGTTTGGAGTCCTACAGGTTTTTAATTTTTCTTCTCTCTTTGGCTGAACTTTTTGATAAAAATGAGACACTGGAGATTGTGAAACCTGAATGGATTTCATCCTTGAGTTTTGCATTTTAGTTACCCTTGTAACCTTGACTTTCAAAAAGCTTGATGGATACTGTTAGGGCTTCGACCAATTTTAAGTGTTTGGTTTTATGATTTTTCTTTAATTGCTTATGTAACCTGCAGCCTTCTCCTATTCATTAAAATGGTTTTGCAAATAACTTAAGGCTTGTTGCTTTGACAAATAAAAACCAGGCTTATTATTCTGTCTATAATTGAACAATAATTACAATGTTGATTATCTTTTGTTGGGCTTGCTTAATAACGCCCTAAGTAGTTTAGTGGGATTTATAGCTTCCAGGATTTGAACAAGAGGTCACAGAGGTCTTTACTTTTTGCCAGCTGACCTTTTGTTTGAGTTTAAATTAACTCAATTTGTGCTGCTTTTTATATCTGCTCTCAAAAGTCAGGTCTGCAAAGTACATTATATAGAAATCTACAGGTGTCTAATAAAGCTATTTTTATGTTTTATTAAAACTTTATTTAAATATCTCGGTGATTTAAAGAGAAGATGAACTGATGTTTATCACTGCAAACACAGGAATGTAAATGACAGAACAGTTAGATCTGCGATATACTTCAATGAATATTAAACTGTTCTCTACAAACTCTTAGAAATATTGATTGTTGAAACAAGGCTTTTTTTTTCTATGCACCTTTCTGATACTCTTAAATAAGGCTATAACTATGTTCTTTTTTAAAACAAAAACAAGTTCATAATGATACTTAAATCTGGTAATTATAAGCAACTCTAAACGTTTGATTTAAAAAAAATCCTTGTCTTCCTCCTGTATTCTTACCTGCTTAGCCTGTGGAACGGGAAAAGAGGACTTTTTCCTAATTAGCTCTAGGATTCATCCACCACTGTGTTGAGCATCTGCCATGTACCTGGTTTTAGAGATAAAGGAAAATTGGTCTCTGCTGTCCATGAGTTCAGGCTCAGACAAGAATATTGTTTTATCCTTTCAGCCTATATATTTCCCTAGACATTGATCCGAGTGTTTTCTGTTCTATTACATAGCTTGGGTCTCCTGGGACAGGTTTTATAAATATTTATAATTTTTTGTAGAGGAGAAAGCAATATTTGACTTTGTTATTTTCTTCCAAACTCCGTGGCTCTTCCCTGACTGAACAATACCACTTCCCAGTGAGGGCCAATACTTTTTTGGATGCTTAGGTCTGACATGTCTGTTCAAAAATCAGCTTTTACCCCAGTTACCATCATCAACAATCACCTCCTGCTGAGACGGGCATAACATTGTTTTCACTGTAGTGAATGTGCAATACTCTGACCCCAATGGTATGATGTTTGCTCAGACAGCTTCAAATACAAATGTTTTTAACAGACAGTGTGAGATGAAAAAGTATGGTCTAAAGGGTTCTGGACTTGGAATCAAATGTTTTAGCATCAGTTTTACTAATTGCAGGTAGGGGACAATTTCCACCTCTAAACCTGTGACCTTATCGGCAAAATGGGGGGATAATACTTATCTCACCAGTTTTTGTCTGGTTTTAGTGAGGAATAAGTGAGATTCATATAGGTGATAGTTTAAGGTACAATGTCTAGCATACAGAAAGCAATCATTAAATATTAATTGGATCAAAGCAGAAGCAAAGTATCTACCATTCCTTTAAGCAAGGAGTGTCATGCACTCAGCTGTTTCCTGGAAAATAAAAATGACTAAGATGGCATTCCTGCTCTTGAAGAGCTCAGTTATATTTACTTGAGAACTAGGTAGTTTCCGTATTATTTGATCATCTGTCACAAGCTTCATCTACCACAGCTTCCTCCATCCAGCTGGCTCAGATCAATGGAGAGGACTATTGTTGTCAATCCGGATAAAGAATTAGCTGCCAACAACCCATTTGCATTTGTTCTCTGTCAATCAAGAGATTAGGCTCCAGAACTCTTACACAGGATAAAAAATATTTCCTAAGAATAAAAAAATTTTTTTTTTCTTATGGAAAAACAGTACTAGTTCTACTAATTATTTTCTGGGTAGGTAGTACTTGGGCAAATCTCTTCCTGTGTCTATATTTCTCATTTGATAAAGAATAGGTTAGACCACATAGCTGCTAAAATCCCTTCTAATTCCAACAGTCTCTTTTTTATGACTCAGGCTTCTAGCTTTTGAAAAAATGAATCCTTCCAAGATAGGTGAGTGGAGAAGACAAAACATTGTATTTAAAAAGTTGAGAATAGCTACAGTGTTGGCGTCAGTGCTCTAAATGATAAGCCTTAACTAGTATCATCTGAGAATGGAAAGTAGCAACACATGTCTTTAAATTCTTTTCATGCTGCTTTGTGCTGAGTTGTGGGTGATTACAGTGGTTTAGAGCATTTTCATCTTTTTGGTTGCACATCTCATGCCATGTTCATGCCTATTATGAGTACTTCTAATATTACAGTGCATTCCAGCTCTGCAACTTATAATATATGTGACTTAGACAAAATATTTAACTTTTAGAACTTCAAAATTTTTTGCTTCTATAAAATAGAGCTAATAATACCCAACTAATAAGACTTTTAAGCCCTTAACACAGTGCCCAACAAGAACCCAATAAAGTTTGTATATTCAATTAAGAAATTAAAATATCTGGGGCGCCTGGGTGGTTCAGTCGGTTGAGCGTCTGCCTTCGGCTCAGGTCGTGGTCTCAGGGTCCTGGGATCGAGCCCCGCATCACGCTCCCTGCTCAGCGGGGAGCCTACTTCTCGCTCTCCCTCTGCCTGCCACTCCCCCTACTTGTGCTCGCTCTCTCTCTGTCAGATAAGTAAATAAAAACTTAAAAAAAAATTAAATATCTATGTATATCTTGGCATAGAGTTATTGACTTTAAACATTCATTCAAATATTTGATAAGCCTACCCTATACATACACACCTCATTAGAAAAGGCTAAGAAAAAAAGGCTATATTCCTTTTGCTAAAAAAGCTTATAATCGGGGTGCCTGGGTGGCTCAGTTGTTAAGTGTCTGCTTTCAGCTCAGGTCATGATCCCAGGGTCCTGGGATTGAGCCCCCCATCGGGCTCCCTGCTCCGCGGGAAGCCTGCTTCTCCCTCTCCCACTCCCCCTGCTTGTGTTCCCTCTCTCTCTGCCTCTCTCTCTCTCTCTCTGTCAAATAAATAAATAAAATCTTTTAAAAAAAATTTTAACTAAAAAATAGCTTATAATCTATCTCAGAAAACGAGACATAAGAGTCAAGACAAGTTGAATAGCTGTTATAAGAGATTTGACAAATACTGTTTTATAGTTGCTATAAGAGATTCCATAAAACAATATTTGTTAAATAGCAAATTAGTGGCAAGATAATATTTATAAATGGATTCAGAGATAGGAGACATCACTGTTAGAGAAGTCTGTGTGGAGAAGATGACAATTAAACCAGGTTAATGTGAATTGCCCAAATTGGTGCAAAATGAGAGAGAATTATTGCCTACGCCAAAGGAAAAGTTTTCAGGAAAACATACATAACATCCTATATGCATATATGTATGCATACACACATATGAATACATATACACACAAAAGAAATTATTTTAGGATAAGTTATGTAAATCACTGAGCACAGTGCCTGACCTGTCATCAAACAGATAATTGTTACTTCTTATTGCAGAAGCCATGAGTTTGTAGCCCATCAGATAAATTAAGTCCACATACATATTTTCTTTAGCCACATCTTTTTTTCCCCATAACACATGAGCCAGCTTTTAAAAAGTGGAGGATTTCATAATTAAAAAGAAAAAATCTGAGTCTCTGGTTTCTCTTGAAAAGTCCTGAAGATTTGCTATAACTGAGCCTGCATTTCCTTCACACCAGTCTACTGGGACTGAATAGTTGCAGCTGCTTCCTTTAAACTTGACCTCAATCACTAAGGTCTCCACCAACTCACTAGGTGCTCTCAGATGTACTTATACCCAGTGCATGCACTGACTACCACCTTGTGGAGTTTGGCATTTGCAACCCCTCAAACCCTGGAAGGAAGCTCCATTTGCTCCAGTCTCCTGGGGGAGGAGAGACCCATCATGGCGGACCCATCAAGAAACCACCCGGGAGGTGAGTGATCAGGGAAACTAATCTCTTTCAGAGTAGACCCATGAGATGACTTATGGTTTTTCTCAGCACTTTAAGTTCTGAAGGGCTAAATATGTGGCTCAGTGAAAAGATTAGCTGGTTCTAATCTAAGTCTTGAGGGGGGAGGTTGCCTTTCTGTTGCCATTTGGTCCCCTCACGAAAAGCAGTAAGGAATTGAGTGCAGAAGTCCTGGTGAGAAAAAGACTTTTAGAGGGAACGTACTTAGGTATCTCTTCAAAATCTAACTGGAGTAGTAAGCAGCTTAACAGGCTGTAGAGCAAGGACTCCAATTCCCTCTCCTCTATAGGGTATACCTTAGGGGCACTAAAAGAAGGGATTCCATAGCCTAAATAATACTGGGCAACCCTAGTTTCCTTGATAACCTTGGTCAATATATGTATATATTTGTTCCAAATGTCGAGATTCACTTCCGAGTTGGCCATGTAAAATAACACCCCCAAAATAATAAAATCACTTCTACGACTAAAAAGACTAGAAAATTCCATGCAATTTTCAAAATAAGCAATAGCAATCCAGAACTGTCAGGTAAGTAAGATTCAACAGCGAGAGCAGAACCAGAAGGAAGCATGTCTAGCAGCAGAATGAAAAGTTCAGATCTAGTATTGAGCCATCATGCAGTTGTTCATATATGTATTTTGGGGAGAAGGAAAGAAAATTAGATGCAGCAAATTAGTGAAGAGACAAGAGTAGAACTGGAACATTAAGCTGTCACAGCCTGCCGTGATCAGTTTTTATGGAGGAAGCTGTATTTTTGGTTTTGCCACTTATGTGACACAGTAAAACCCTAACTTAACTCCACAGGTAATGTTGTGACCCCCATCTGGTTCAGCCAAGTCTTTGGATATTTTCTCTGTCATCCAAAGATGATATCACAGAGTACCTTTAGCATTAAAAATTGTCAGAATATTGTAATAGGGAGATTTACTAGAAAGTTTCTTAAATCTTTTATGCTTCGGTTCTGCCTTTACAAAATGAATAGTCCCAATTCATGTGGTTGGTTATCACATGCTTAGTGGAGAGTCTAATTCATAGTAAAGGTGCAATATCACAATTATTGTTGTTCATATAGCACTCCACCAAAAAATAATATTTCTAAAAATTTTAAAAATGGAAATTATATATCCACATAGTAATTTATGGTATTATAGAAGAATGTTTTTGTTTTTGTTTTTGCTCTCAGAGCAAAGAGCATTATTCTTGTTTTATATGTAAGAAATCTGAGGCAGGGCACCTGGGTGGCTCAGTCATTAAGCGTCTGCCTTCAGCTCAGGTCATGATCCCAGGTTCCTGGGATCGAGTCCCACATCGGGCTCCCTGCTCTGCGGGAAGCCTGCTTCTCCCTCTCCCACTCCCCCTGCTTGTGTTCCTGCTCTCGCTATGTCTCTCTCTATCAAATAAATAAATAAAATCTTAAAAAAAAAAAAAAAGAAAAGAAATCTGAGGCAGGAATGTTTAGGTGGCTTAACAAAGGAAACCACAGGAGCATGGTGGAGCACAAACCAAAGCCCGGGACTCTCTCACAATTCTATGATGCCTTGTCTTTCCCCTTGTAATCAAATAAGGACCAAAAAGAACATATTCCCAAGAAACTGACACAGAAAATAAAACTCCATGTGGTTATTTATATGACAGTTTTGTTCTAAGAACGTGAACGGGGGCACCTGGGTGACTCAGTTGGTTAGGCGTCTGCTTTCGGCTCAGGTCATGATCCCGGGTCCTGGGATCGAGCCCCACATCAGGCTCCCTGCTCAGTGGGAAGCCTGCTTCTCCCTCTTCCTCTACCCCTCACCCCAC